CTAGTTCTAGAATTGGTGTTAGCATTGCCAAGATGTTATTACACCATGTTATATCAAAACTAGTTCTAGAACTGATGTTAGCATTGCCAAGATGTTATTACACCATGTTATATCAAAACTAGTTCTAGAACTGATGTTAGCATTTCCAAGATGTTATCACACCCTGTTATATCAAAACTAGTTTTAGAACTGATGTTAGCATTGCCAAGATGTTATTACACCATGTTATATCAAAATTATTTCTAGAACTGATGTTAGCATTGCCAAGATGTTATAACACAATGTTATATCAAAATTATTCCCAGAACTGATGTTTGCATTGCCAAGATGATAATTCCCATAAACAATGATAGATTATTTATGTTAACATTTATTAAACCGAAGTAAGTTTTGTCAGCTGTATAATAAACATTAATTATAGTCAAAGAATATTAATGTTAGAATTCATTAATTGATGTAAAGTCTTTGCGTTGTAGACCTTGGACAAGGAATCAAGTCATTTAATCGTAAACATATTGTTGAAGTATTTATATAGGTATATGTTATGCAATGATTACTTGTATATACATGTACTATTGATGCCATATACACACCATAGGTTCACTATACATACCAAGCAATGGTGCGCAATTCAATATCTTCGGTTCGACTTGTACTACCAAAGTGTCTGTGACTTTATCTGAAATGAAGTTGTACATCGATGACATAAGCAATACACAGAAATGACCAGATAATGATCGTCTTCTTTCCCTACAGTTTCAAGTCATGTATGTACAGTTGTGTGACCGCACATCGCACTAAAATAAACGTGCGTTCATCGTACATATATCGTGCGCACACCAATCGTTCGCCCATTTGTGCGCTTTTCTGCGCATAAATCTGCGATTTGGTACAATTGGTTGATAAAATTTATGGAATGAAAAATCGTATGGCTCGAATTGAATATTGAACATCGTATATTTAAATTTCTCATCGTATTAATTAAGATTGCGTTCCTTTACAATGCGTGCAACACAGCATTACAGTAACTGTTAGACCGTCAAGAATGGGTATGGCTCCCAGGTACCAGAACAGGTATATAACATTTTCATGAGTGACCGGATTTTTACCTGGCGCCCTGTGACTGACATAGAAGAGCCGATATATGAAACCGTATGACAGTTATGAAATCACAACTAGTATTTGTTATTTGCATTAGTGTTGGTCTATAGCTCCCTTTCAACTGGATTTTAATTCGAATTACATGCTGATTCATATACAAAACGACAAAAAACAGATGTCAGCTGCAAGCTATTAAATGCAGATTTTTCAAGAGACAGCTTCGGGAATGTCACACCTGATCTCGTTCCTTGTTCTTGTTTTTGCTGTTGTTGTTTTATTTCCACAGAAGTGGTGTCAATGTTGCTTTTGTATGTTTTACGTTCTTTTAAATTTATTTTATCTTAATTTTGTGACATGAGAAACCACTTCTCATTTTGAATATATATATATATATATATTTTAATTTTAGTATTCTGTGGTTGCCCTATCGTACTGGTATCGATATCTGATTCTGTCCTTTGGCCCCGTGTTGACCAACACGATTGGTATGTTGCGATTCTACCGTGACTTGTTTAGTACAGATACCCAGGTGTCAGAGATAATGTATCAAATGACTCATTACTCACATTCGATACCTGACGTTTTCACGTAAACCTCGTTATGACTCAACACTGGGACCAGCTGATAATTCCACTGGAAGTATACCGGATTGGTTTTGTAAACTATACACGACATGTTTTCTTTGTCGTAGACTGCAACAAATCCAGCAAAGACTTGATTTAGACTCCACTGACAGTTGGTGTCTGTCGTGTTGTAATTTGTAATTGTCAGTATATTGATGCCTCCAGGGTCAAACAGGGTCATGTTGGTATACGTATCCACAGTATACAGACCTGTTGAGAACAAAAACAGAATTAAGGAGCAAATACTAATATTATACTATCTTTGAATGATTAAGATTCGTTATCTACAATCCATATAATCAACACTTTTCTGATCCTGAGAACGGGATAATCACAACCCTGCACGTGGATTAATACATGATTACACAGACGATAATGTAGACGGATAAAACACTGTACATGATTACACAGACGATAATGTAGACAGATAAAACACTGAACATGATTACACAGACGATAATGTAGACAGATAAAACACTGTACATGATTACACAGGAGATAATGTAGACAGATAAAACACTGTACATGATTGCACAGACGATAATGTAGACAGATAAAACACTGTACATGATTACACAGACGATAATGTAGACAGATAAAACACTGTACATGATTACACAGACGATAATGTAGACAGATAAAACACTGTACATGATTACACAGACGATAATGTAGACAGATAAAACACTGTACATGATTACACAGACGATAATGTAGACAGATAAAACACTGTACATGATTACACAGACGATAATGTAGACAGATAAAACACTGTACATGATTACACAGACGATAATGTAGACAGATAAAACACTGTACATGATTACACAGACGATAATGTAGACAGATAAAACACTGTACATGATTACACAGACGATAATGTAGACAGATAAAACACTGTACATGATTACACAGACGATAATGTAGACAGATAAAACACTGTACATGATTACACAGACGATAATGTAGACAGATAAAACACTGTACATGATTACACAGACGATAATGTAGACAGATAAAACACTGTACATGATTACACAGACGATAATGTAGACAGATAAAACACTGTACATGATTACACAGACGATAATGTAGACAGATAAAACACTGTACATGATTACACAGACGATAATGTAGACAGATAAAACACTGTACATGATTACACAGACGATAATGTAGACAGATAAAACACTGTACATGATTACACAGACGATAATGTAGACAGATAAAACACTGTACATGATTACACAGACGATAATGTAGACAGATAAAACACTGTACATGATTACACAGACGATAATGTAGACAGATAAAACACTGTACATGATTACACAGACGATAATGTAGACAGATAAAACACTGTACATGATTACACAGACGATAATGTAGACAGATAAAACACTGTACATGATTACACAGACGATAATGTAGACAGATAAAACACTGTACATGATTACACAGACGATAATGTAGACAGATAAAACACTGTACATGATTACACAGACGATAATGTAGACAGATAAAACACTGTACATGATTACACAGACGATAATGTAGACAGATAAAACACTGTACATGATTACACAGACGATAATGTAGACAGATAAAACACTGTACATGATTACACAGACGATAATGTAGACAGATAAAACACTGTACATGATTACACAGACGATAATGTAGACAGATAAAACACTGTACATGATTACACAGACGATAATGTAGACAGATAAAACACTGTACATGATTACACAGACGATAATGTAGACAGATAAAACACTGTACATGATTACACAGACGATAATGTAGACAGATAAAACACTGTACATGATTACACAGACGATAATGTAGACAGATAAAACACTGTACATGATTACACAGACGATAATGTAGACAGATAAAACAATGTACATGATTACACAGACGATAATGTAGACAGATAAAACACTGTACATGCTTACACAGACGATAATGTAGACAGATAAAACACTGTACATGTAGATATGTTCTAAGTGTAAGTTTGTTTTAATTTTGCATCTGAAATCTCTCATTAAAGGAATACAAGAAATTGATTGGTTGATACTACAAATGTAGTTCATTTAAAATATATATTTATGGTCAAGATTTGGAAAGTGTTTATATTTCTTGGAGCCCATCATCAAACACTTACGTTCTTTTCACCCATGAAATATGTCATTTGAAGGCATGCTGTAAAGTATCTAATTAGATTAAGATAAACACGATTACTCGCTAGGCTTAATGCTACCAGGGATCAAAGTCAGACCTCAAATACACTCAATGTGACCGTCACGCTGCCGAGCGATTCTTTCCTGTACATAAAAGGATTAAACTACATATGCAGCCTAATTGTATTCTACAAGGTGGCACGCACAGATCGTTCTATTTCGACATGACATATCCCAGGGTGCAGCGTATGTAAGAGGTCGTAACTTTGTTAAGCTTTATGTGGACGTATCCTTCCACAAAATAGTAACATTTACCAAAATAAGCTCATAATATGTCTACTTTTAGAATCTAGCATATATAAGTTAAATACATATTTTAATCAGTGACGATTCTAAAAAACGAACAAATTACCTATACAATGTCCGGTCCTGAGTATTAGAGAGATGATTCAGAGGGCAGATACAATGATAAATAAAAAAAAACATTGAAATATCCAGATTACACTGTATTATACCGAAAACAACCATATATATATGCACAAAGTACAAAACATTAATATCTATGTTACAGAAATAAGTCATTGTGTCACAATGGCGGCATGATAATAAACAATTTACTTCGACCCACGTTTTTTTCTCTCTATTTTGACTCACAACCTTAACATACAAAGCCCAATTACCCTCTTCCTACTTGTAGGAAACAAGTCGACATGGAAAAACAATCCTCGTTATATTTTTGTCTGCACTTACCTTTTTTATCTTTAAATTTTAATAATAGAAATAGAACAAATATTATTTCTATTAAAGGGAAAGGTATTGAAGACTTGTTATCACACGATACCGGCCATAATAACTTTTAAGATTTCATGCCATTAACATTTGGCTTTTTTTGCATTGCTGCAGCATATATGTCCCAAACCATAGAATCTTTAAAAAAAATGCGTAAATTATTATTACCAGGAAACACACATTTCCTTATCTTTTTTGTCCTTTTCCTATATAAACCAACCACATTAGTATGTTTTAGTCGATTTTGTAATGTGCAATTTTTTTAAATAAAAGGCTTTAATTTCGAAGTTTTCCTGTTTTAACAGAGAATAAAGCAAATGGTCAACGATTATCCCAGTTCCAAGAACGTAAAACAATCCTATAGTAAAACTTAAAATGGAAGAGTTTCCTCCCTTAGTATAGTGGTTTCTTTTACCGAATAATAATATATCTCATTATTCTTATAAATTGAAGTTACAGATTTTCCGGTCAGCTGACAACTACAGAAGGACGATCAATAAATTGATATGTCATTTTACTTTCATGTTTCTTTTGACGATATAAATGGGCAATACAGACGAAAAAGAAAATTAATTTCTGAGAGAATGGGAAATAATTTTGTATAATAATATGTTTAAATGTACATGGGATGGCGGTCATGGGTTTACGTACTTTACGAATAGAGGAAAAGAAACTCTTGCTTTATGTATTTACGTGAAGGTTACATATATATCTAAATATATATCTAAATGATACATACATATACATGTATTCAATCAAGTTTGAAAGGATTTGCGTTCAATGGAAACTTTGTAGGTTGCTAAGCTACGACCATACTTTTACGTGTGTTTTTTTTTTTTTTTAGTAGTTTCAGAATTTTCGGAAATCATATCCATGCATTAAATATGCCGATGCTTGTATTGCTAGACTTCGTCCATTTGGCGCTAGTTATGTGAATGTTCTTCCTCTGTATCGGACACTCCCACAAATAATGCAATGACAATGAAATACATTCAATTCATATTTCAAAAAATAGTGTCTTTGTTACAGAACCAGACGAAGAAACAGAAAGTTCCACTCTTCCATATTAAGAAATAATTTCTCCGATGCAGCCAATAAGTACAACTTGTTAGTCTGTTCTAACGGAGCGTCTAGATTTAAAAATTGACAAATCTCCAGGAATAGATAAATTTCATCCACTATTTCTCATGAAAACTGCAGAAACGATAGCATCCCCATAAACATAGTCATATACCATTTCGCTTAAAACAGGTACAGTACTTGATGATTAGAAAATTAGATTTAAAAAAATGGGTATAACTAGTTACAGACCGGTTAGTTTGACATTAATTGAATGCAAAATATGAAACAAAACGCATTTTGTTATCGATTTATGTCGGGTAGGTCTACGTCATTACAACTTCTGAAAGTTTTAGATGAATGAACTGAACAATTAGATAATGGACACTAGATCGATTATATAAAAATATGGATTTTCAGAAAGCCTTCGTTTCAGTTCTACACAGAAGACTTTTAAGTAAAATTAAATGGAAGGCCAACTTCATCTCCACCGGTGTCACGCTATATCCAATCCGATTGAAGCGATGTATCCTCAGGAGGTCCTCAGGGATCAACATCACTCGAACCAATATTTTTCGTCATAAACATAAATGACCTACTTGATACTATACATTTTGAAGTTTATCTTTTTGCGGACGACACAAAATGATTTGACTTATACGGGGAAGTGCTGATGTAAATATACTCCAAGATGACCTGGACCATCTGTCAGCTTGGAGTGATAAACAGCTACTGAAATTTCATCCCCAAAAATGTAAATCGATGCGTATGGGCAGGCATTACGATTAGAGACAATATTACATGTATCTTAAAAAAGAATTACAAAAAGTGCACAAGGAAAAAGACATAGTTAAAAAAGCAAATTTTAAGTTTGCACTTATAAGGCGAACCTTTCATTTTTGTAATGTATACAACTTTCCGTTACTGTACTGTACACTAGTTAGTGTCCATTTTGAGTACGCAAATACTGTATGTCACCCGTATAAAATTAAACATATTGATATGATTGAGGCTGTACAACGGAGGGCATCTAAGCATTTATCTGGATTTAAGGAAATGTCCTATTCAGATAGACTTAAAAGCCTTAAACACTACTGGCCTGCAAAAGGATAGGTCCG